AACTGCTCAGCAAAGTTCAAATGATCAGCATGTTATTTAACTAATTAACTGGTTATTTAACTAATTAACAATTCAAAAGTTCAAATAGTTCAAAAAAAGGTTTGAACCAGTTAAATTGCCAACATTGCAAAAATTTGATAAAATGAAATGAATTTTATTGGATCATATAGGCATGCTGCAACAAAACCAGACAAAGTGAACATTGGTATTACTAAGAATTTAGGGATCAATATTGTTTGTTTAAAATCTTAACATCACAATTGTATTGCCATAATGTAAGATATTTGTCTAGACAAAAATAGTTAATATTTACATCAGATCTACTATGCTAAAGTTAGTTGTTTAGTTAACTATTTTAGTTGATTCCAACCTCTAATATATAGAAAAATAATGGTTTTGGACAAAATTGGGTTTTAATTCTAGCCATGATATAACAAAAAGTCCATTATATTTAAATTTTCCTCCAGCCTTTCTATAAAGATCTGGCACTAAGAATTTATATTATTGGCATGACTCATATATAAATTATAACTATCTGTCTATACTGGACTCTTTATAATGGACATTTTTTTTTTTTAAAAATTAAATTTGTTGTTTGCCTATATTTGTAAATAAACAGTGGTACAGGAAATAAGACATTGTAGAGGAGTGCTCATTATACATGAGTGTATGATTGAACAGATCAAATGAGCATTGAGCTGATAAAAAATCAATTTTTACTAAACACAATTTTTTGGATGAAAAAAATGAGACGTTTCTTTGATTTAGTTAAAAATTTTTTTTTTTTTTGAAATGATTGACTTGATTAAGTTTTGTAGTAATTATATCAGTGGATTCATCTATTATAACTCCTACTTCTGAAAATTCATCCCATATTTTTTTTCTGATAAAGCAGCTAACATGTCATTACCAGTAATTTCATTACTATATGAGAATGATTTATCAGAAATATCTGGTGTATGCAATTCTCTGCAAGTTGAATTAAAGATGGTAATTTTTTCATAGGAATATGATTTTGTACAATATAATAAACAATCTTTATTATGCTTATAATATGTATATCACTTTCATTAATAAATTTGTCATTTAATTTTTCTACTAATCTTTCTGTTGCAAGTTTGGAAAGTTTTAATTTTTCTGCTTCTTTGTGATCTTGTGAATCCTTGTGACATTTTATTGCTGATTTTCTATTTTTATTTTTTGAACCTAATTGAATGTCAGAATATTAATAATATATACTATATATTAAATATTAGAAATAATTCTATTACAAATCTTCTTGGGCAAATTGATTTTTTCTTTTATGTTGAATACAAATTGTACAAATAATTCATTTATGGTCATAATGAAGCCATTTATATTCAGATAACCACTTTTGTTTGAAACTATTGATTTTTATTCAATTAATTTTCATTTTCATTTTCAGCAAGTTCAGCATCAAAAAGTACTATTATTAGAATTTTCTTCTGGATTTAATAAATTGAAATATCAAAATAGTTAATTTTTTACTTTATACAAAAAAAGAAGGCATTGGAAGAATTGATACTTATAGAACATACCTTGAGCCTCTTGAGCTACTTCTAAATCCATACTCAAATAAACTCATTCTTTATAATCATTAAAAAAAATATATTTTTACGTTACACCATTTCCGTTTTTTTTTCATGACAATGACAGTAAAATTTATTGCTTCCGGAAGTTTTCCGGAATTTATTAGTGAATATGAAAATGAAGACCTTTTTTTCTATTGCATTTTTGAACGAATCATGAAATTGCAATTTGAGAGTTCGTGGCGCAGCAATGGGTGTCTTTTAGACCGAGCCAACCATATTAAATGCGTGTAACGCCGACCTATCCATAAAAGGATCTTTAACTGTAGTGAGTGAGTGGTAGTTCAAATTTTCAATAAGACGATCTATTATGCAAGATTAACCAACCTTTTACACTTTCCAAAATGTCAGATGTCAACCAACAACAACTTCAATCTTTGGTGTTATCAGCAGAATTAAATTCTGAAAATGAAAATCTTGAACAATTAGGTCCAATAATTAAATCTATATATGATACTGGCACGCAAGAAGCTTTCTTGGACCAATTATCAATTTTTGTAAGGAAGAAAGAAGGTGAAATAGAGAGAATGTGCAATAGCAATTATCAGGTGTGATACTAAAGAAAAAAAATTCCTTTTTGAATATAATCGTAAAGATTAAAATTTTATTTAAATTTAAAAATAGGAATTTGTTCAATCTGTGGATCAATTATTAAAGGTAAGGCAAGGAACGGTTAATCTTAAAAACAAAATCATCCATTTAAATGATGACCTTCACAATTCAGGAATAAAAGTAGCAGCAAAGGTTTGTAAAATTCCAAGTTTAGTAATAATAATTATGTACAAATAAGGTGAAATAATTAATCTATTAATTATTATTAATATGTTAGAAAAAAGAACTTATTCAAACCAGAAGAATTCAAAAAAATATTGATGAAGCAGTTGAGACACTTCAATTATGTTTACATATTCTTGATCTTGCTAATAGAGTCACTCATTTAATTGAAAGCAAAAAATACTATTCAGCTTTGAGAGTAACTATTTCTTTTTTGAAGATCCATTTGCTACGATTTTTTGTTTTTTGTTTTTCAAAAAAAAAAAAAAAAGAAATTATATAAATATTCTTTATTTAGACACTAGAAGAATTACAAAATGTTCATCTAAGAAAAGTGATACAATATGAATTTGCTAAACATATGCGTATGTAATATATAATTAGTTGATTGTGGTTAAAATATTCTATTACTATTACTAATTTTTTATAACAATAGAGGAATCTATACCTGCAATGCAAAATAATGTTAAAGATGCAGTGACCAAGGAAATGAAAGAATGGTTATTTAAGTATGATAATTATCATTATTATGTGGAAATAGTTATATGGTAAAGGCATTTTATTAAAAGAAATCAACTTACATTCTTTTTGTATTTAGAGTAAGACAAGATTCTAGACAAGTTGGAAAAATTGCAATGGAACAAATGAGACTACGTCAAGAGCGTTGGTCTAATAAATTAGCTCAAAATCCAAATTTACGCGTTGTTCCTGTAAGTTCACCTATAGAAGTAGTTATGAATGAAGAAAATGAATGTATGTTGTTTTATCTTCAACAAATATTTAATATAATATATATATTATAATAATATTGTTATTAATTTGATTTTTTTCTTCATTATGTAGTCAATATAATAAATAATGATCATGTCCAGATTGATTTTAAACCATTATATCAATGTTTACATATTTATGAGGAACTTGGAAAAAGAAATGAATTCAAAACCAATTATGAAGAAGATAGAAAGGTAATAATATATAAGCAAAAATTCTAAAAAACTAAATAAAATCATGATTATAATTTTCTTTTATACAAAATTTTAAAGGCACAAGCAAATTTGGTCCTATCGCAGTCCTTTTCCTTGAAAGCAGGTCGAGATAATGGTGGATTTGAAGCCTTTCTTCAAGATGTAATTGGATTTTTTATAATAGAACGTACAATTGTATATTCTACACAAAATTTCCGATCTCAAACAGATGTTGATAATTTGTGGAATACAGTAATGATTAAAGTTGTGAAAATTGTTTCAGATAGTTTATGTGATTGCCATGATCCAGATTTATTTTTAAGAATTAAACTTGCTTTATTTACTTTTATCCAAACTCTTGAGGTACTTTTTTACAATTTATAATTATTGATTCATTTTATATAACAATAATAGTAAATTTATTTATCTAATTAGGATTATGAATATAATGTTCTTAGCTTTACTGATTTGGTTCTTACTGTTTTCCAAAGATATTCTGATTTGCTTAAACATAAATTTTCTAAAGATTTTCAACAAGTAATAATAATCAAAATTCTCATAAATGAAATATTATGAAATAAAAATTAATAATACATTTATAAAAATTTATAGACACTTCTTATTGATGATTATATGCCAATGCAAATCACTAATCCGGAAGAATATGCTGCTGTAGTTGATACTTGTTGGTTTAAAGAAGATCACAGGATTAGTCAAGGGTAATAATAATAATAATAATAATAACAACAACAATATAAATGAATGGAATAATAATTATTAAAAATTTTTTTTATAGATATCCGAGAATTCTTCCATTTTCACAAGCATATCCGTGTTGTTGTTTGGATATCAAAAGTTTTATTAATCAATATTATGAATTTGCTGAAGGTGATGCAAGACGATATAGTTATGTTGATGATATTGCAAAACAGGTATTTATTTCTCAAAATAGATAAATAAATTTATATAAATAATTGATTTGGGAAAAAAACTTAAATTATTTAATTTTTTGAAGACATTAGATATTTTATTAATAGAACATCTTAATCAAGTTTTGTATGATAAATTGCAAAGCACAAATATGTCACAGATTGTTCAAATTATTATTAATCTTGAATATTTAGAATATGCTTGTGTAGAGATTGAAAAGTTATTGAAATCCAAAAGGTAAACCTTCATACTTTATATACATAAAAGTAAATGTTTATTAAAAAAAATTTTTAAAAAAAAGATCATCCCATCGAGGAGGAAAAATTAAATTGAATGCATTAGAACATTTTCGTGAGACTCGAAAAAAAGCTGAAAAACGTATTTATGAGCTTGTGAATTTCAAGATTGATGATTTTTTAGAAATAGCCGATTATGACTGGTATATAATTATTATAAAATGATTTTTTTTTTAATTTATTATTCTTTAATTTTGTTTTTTTTTTTTAAAAACCCAGGGAAACTGATTCAATTCAATCACATCCAAGTTCATTTCTTCAAGGTAACTTTAAATTAAATAATCATTCATTAATTCATTTATTCATTATTTCTAAAATTTATTATTTGATATTGTATATAAATGTAAATAGATATGATTGGATTTTTAGGGGCAGTTATTAGTTCAACATTATATAATCTTCCAATGACAATTAAAATATTCATATATCTGGTTGCATTAAGTCATTTATCAACTTCTTTACGTGTATGTGTTATCATTTTTAATATAAATAAATCCTACATCATATTATATTATTAACTTTATTTTTTTTTGATTGGTAGAATTTAATTTTAAGTCCTGATGTTAAAAGAATTAATTCAAATGCTATAGCAAATTTTGATGTTGATGTTAATTTTTTAGAGCAATTTGCTCAAAGTCTTGAAGATCCACAAATAGCTGATGCATTCATAGAATTAAGACAAGTATGATCTTTTTCAAATAAAAGTTTCTACTATAAAGATTTAATATTTAATGTTAATTAATATAAATAAATAAATTTGTTTATTTATTTAGATTGTTACCTTACTTCAATCTGAAAATATAGAAGAATATTTAAATCCTTCTACAAGGAACAAAAAATATTCTGGATTAAAACCATCTGACGTTATAAACTTATTTGAAAAGTAATGATTTTTCATATTAAATAATCAACAATAATTTCCTAAATAGTAACTTCCTTTATCTTAATTTTTCTCCAATAATAATAATAATAATAAAGGTGGTTACGTGATCAACCGTCATTATCAATGACACCAGAAGAACGTGCTAAAAAACGTGCTATGGAAGGTGTAGTAAGATCATTAAGAGCATCAATGTAACAATACAATGCATGCACAAAAACATACAAATTTATTTAAATTATTTTAATTTATATATATACACACACACAGTCAAAGTTTGTTAAAATGTATATTAGATAAATTCATAACTGCTAAATCCATAAATTTTCAGGAATCAATACCAGTTATATTAGAATTCTATTCAATAATTTCATAACCATAATAAAATTATAAAGTCATAACTCTCTTACTACTTGTGTGCAATCTCACCGGGACCATGACGTTGTAAAACTTTACACGATATCTGGCAATGTTAATCTGTCTCTTACAAGACTTTAAAAAAGCATAGATAAGAATCCTATCATTGGTTGTTATTGTGTCACAAATTTAAGTGAGATCAACCAATGAGCTATTAATTTTTATTATATTATATTTCTACAGAACTTATTATTAGATCAGTAAGAGAACAATATAATTCAAATTCTATAGCTTATTTTCACTTATATTGATATACTTAACAATCATGCAATATAGAATTAATATATTGGTATAATAATATTATAATATTTACCATAAGCATTTTATTTATTTTTGATTTAGCTCTTCATAAGCAGCGACTGCATTAATCTTTCTGTAAGTTCTTGATTACCACATACTATGCAAGGACCAAAATTTTTTTTTGTACTTTTGTTCATTTTTATTAATAATGAAATAGACAATGAGACTTGTTTTGATTTTTGACACACATTTGAGCAGTGTTGGCAATTTAACTGGTTCAAACCTTTTTTTGAACTATTTGAACTTTTGAATTGTTAATTAGTTAAATAACATGCTGATCATTTGAACTTTGCTGAGCAGTTATTTAACCAATATGCAAGTTATTTGATAGAGTTCATTACAAATATGGAAAACAGTATCAAATGTTATTATTATATGTACTGTTTTCTGGATCCAGAGTTAATAACTTTGATTTTAGGAAAGAATGGTTATTTAAGTATGATAATTATCATTATTATGTGGAAATAGTTATATGGTAAAGGCATTTTATTAAAAGAAATCAACTTACATTCTTTTTGTATTTAGAGTAAGACAAGATTCTAGACAAGTTGGAAAAATTGCAATGGAACAAATGAGACTACGTCAAGAGCGTTGGTCTAATAAATTAGCTCAAAATCCAAATTTACGCGTTGTTCCTGTAAGTTCACCTATAGAAGTAGTTATGAATGAAGAAAATGAATGTATGTTGTTTTATCTTCAACAAATATTTAATATAATATATATATTATAATAATATTGTTATTAATTTGATTTTTTTCTTCATTATGTAGTCAATATAATAAATAATGATCATGTCCAGATTGATTTTAAACCATTATATCAATGTTTACATATTTATGAGGAACTTGGAAAAAGAAATGAATTCAAAACCAATTATGAAGAAGATAGAAAGGTAATAATATATAAGCAAAAATTCTAAAAAACTAAATAAAATCATGATTATAATTTTCTTTTATACAAAATTTTAAAGGCACAAGCAAATTTGGTCCTATCGCAGTCCTTTTCCTTGAAAGCAGGTCGAGATAATGGTGGATTTGAAGCCTTTCTTCAAGATGTAATTGGATTTTTTATAATAGAACGTACAATTGTATATTCTACACAAAATTTCCGATCTCAAACAGATGTTGATAATTTGTGGAATACAGTAATGATTAAAGTTGTGAAAATTGTTTCAGATAGTTTATGTGATTGCCATGATCCAGATTTATTTTTAAGAATTAAACTTGCTTTATTTACTTTTATCCAAACTCTTGAGGTACTTTTTTACAATTTATAATTATTGATTCATTTTATATAACAATAATAGTAAATTTATTTATCTAATTAGGATTATGAATATAATGTTCTTAGCTTTACTGATTTGGTTCTTACTGTTTTCCAAAGATATTCTGATTTGCTTAAACATAAATTTTCTAAAGATTTTCAACAAGTAATAATAATCAAAATTCTCATAAATGAAATATTATGAAATAAAAATTAATAATACATTTATAAAAATTTATAGACACTTCTTATTGATGATTATATGCCAATGCAAATCACTAATCCGGAAGAATATGCTGCTGTAGTTGATACTTGTTGGTTTAAAGAAGATCACAGGATTAGTCAAGGGTAATAATAATAATAATAATAATAACAACAACAATATAAATGAATGGAATAATAATTATTAAAAATTTTTTTTATAGATATCCGAGAATTCTTCCATTTTCACAAGCATATCCGTGTTGTTGTTTGGATATCAAAAGTTTTATTAATCAATATTATGAATTTGCTGAAGGTGATGCAAGACGATATAGTTATGTTGATGATATTGCAAAACAGGTATTTATTTCTCAAAATAGATAAATAAATTTATATAAATAATTGATTTGGGAAAAAAACTTAAATTATTTAATTTTTTGAAGACATTAGATATTTTATTAATAGAACATCTTAATCAAGTTTTGTATGATAAATTGCAAAGCACAAATATGTCACAGATTGTTCAAATTATTATTAATCTTGAATATTTAGAATATGCTTGTGTAGAGATTGAAAAGTTATTGAAATCCAAAAGGTAAACCTTCATACTTTATATACATAAAAGTAAATGTTTATTAAAAAAAATTTTTAAAAAAAAGATCATCCCATCGAGGAGGAAAAATTAAATTGAATGCATTAGAACATTTTCGTGAGACTCGAAAAAAAGCTGAAAAACGTATTTATGAGCTTGTGAATTTCAAGATTGATGATTTTTTAGAAATAGCCGATTATGACTGGTATATAATTATTATAAAATGATTTTTTTTTTAATTTATTATTCTTTAATTTTGTTTTTTTTTTTTTAAAACCCAGGGAAACTGATTCAATTCAATCACATCCAAGTTCATTTCTTCAAGGTAACTTTAAATTAAATAATCATTCATTAATTCATTTATTCATTATTTCTAAAATTTATTATTTGATATTGTATATAAATGTAAATAGATATGATTGGATTTTTAGGGGCAGTTATTAGTTCAACATTATATAATCTTCCAATGACAATTAAAATATTCATATATCTGGTTGCATTAAGTCATTTATCAACTTCTTTACGTGTATGTGTTATCATTTTTAATATAAATAAATCCTACATCATATTATATTATTAACTTTATTTTTTTTTGATTGGTAGAATTTAATTTTAAGTCCTGATGTTAAAAGAATTAATTCAAATGCTATAGCAAATTTTGATGTTGATGTTAATTTTTTAGAGCAATTTGCTCAAAGTCTTGAAGATCCACAAATAGCTAATGCATTCATAGAATTAAGACAAGTATGATCTTTTTCAAATAAAAGTTTCTACTATAAAGATTTAATATTTAATGTTAATTAATATAAATAAATAAATTTGTTTATTTATTTAGATTGTTACCTTACTTCAATCTGAAAATATAGAAGAATATTTAAATCCTTCTACAAGGAACAAAAAATATTCTGGATTAAAACCATCTGACGTTATAAACTTATTTGAAAAGTAATGATTTTTCATATTAAATAATCAACAATAATTTCCTAAATAGTAACTTCCTTTATCTTAATTTTTCTCCAATAATAATAATAATAATAAAGGTGGTTACGTGATCAACCGTCATTATCAATGACACCAGAAGAACGTGCTAAAAAACGTGCTATGGAAGGTGTAGTAAGATCATTAAGAGCATCAATGTAACAATACAATGCATGCACAAAAACATACAAATTTATTTAAATTATTTTAATTTATATATATACACACACACAGTCAAAGTTTGTTAAAATGTATATTAGATAAATTCATAACTGCTAAATCCATAAATTTTCAGGAATCAATACCAGTTATATTAGAATTCTATTCAATAATTTCATAACCATAATAAAATTATAAAGTCATAACTCTCTTACTACTTGTGTGCAATCTCACCGGGACCATGACGTTGTAAAACTTTACACGATATCTAGAATGTGATTTATCATCAAACAACTCCCAAGTGCACACCCCCTTGGGAATGAGTGAAACAAAGCATCTCATTGGTTGCACGTGGCTCCAACGAAAAAATAACACAAGATTGATTTATTACTGTATATTAATCAATTACAATGCTGTTATTACAAAAAAAAATATACCTTTCTTTCCATATCAAGTGTCTGGGTATCATTACTTTTGAAGACATAAGGGCAATTTTCTCATCTTGTTTCTTTTTCAAAATGTCTCTAATAGTGCTGTAATTCTTAGTAAATCTGATGTAAACTAGTTTCATATTAATTATTTATAAGAGTAGCTCTATATACCATTTAAAAAAGACAGACAGACAGGACATTGTAAAGTTGTTAATATTATTATATACCATTATATCAATTGATGTTATCCCCATAATCTATTGGGGTGTGAGATGCCCTAATTAAATCAAAAAACTGTACCAGAGCCTTCAAATAAAAGACACAGGCATGAAAATAAGGAAAATTATAGTAATTAGTTCAAGCTTTTAGATTACAAAGAATTTTTTTTGTATATAGAAAGATATTGAAAAAATTGCTAATATAACCAAAAGGTTTCATTTAGTTTTATTATGAAATCATGATTTAAGTCTATTTGATTTATTATTAAATTTTACCATAAAAATTTCCATCATAACTGATAAACTTCTTTTTTTTTTCAAAAAAATATAACATTTAGAATATTAATATGATAAAAATCCGCACATAATATATGTTTGATGATCAAAGCCACGGAACCCACATATGAATGTAAGCACCCTTGTTTTTTTGAGATTTTCTAAAAGAAGTATCCTGTAATATACTAATGCATTTTGGTATATAGGTGCTGCCCAAATTAAAAATCAAGAATCCCAAATGTAGATCAATCTTTCTGCCCTGCTTTCCTAATCAATAAGCAGATAGTTTAACAAAAGGGTTGTTGATTACTTTCACAAGTCCTAGGCACTTATTGGTTGGGAAACAGAATGCTATTGGTGTACAAAGTAGTTTGGGAATTTGGCTCAGGTTCACTATGACATTTGGGATTTGGGTGGTATGTATATTTTGGTAATCAGTAAATAATAGAAATTTCTATTGAAAATATCAGTACAGCAAAGTGCTATTAGATGGGCACACAATTCCTAATGACCAAAGTTTGTTGGTATGGAAGTAAAAGTTAATGAAAATGAGAAGGAAGGGATGATTAGTGAAGAAACCCCATTTTTGAGACAAGGAAGAAATTTGAGAAAGATAACAATATTAAAAATTTGATTATTAAGAATTGTTACTTTTGCAAGCATTTATTTTATTTATTAGAAAAAATCATGTCTATATCAAATAATTAAGAAGTGCTTATATAAGTGATTCAGTTGTTACATGTGATTTTTCAACTATTTCATATATTGTAGACCTCAAGAATATGGAAAGTTATCATAACCACATATGATCATATATAAAGACACTTGCCATAAATGATTGGACTGGTAACTACCATTGACAAAAATAGCTGTTGGTAGCTGCTATTTGCTGTAAATAATTACAGCTGCTGTATTTATTTGCAGCTGTAATTATTTTATAATGGTAGTTACCATTGTCACAAATAACCAATTATGGCAGGTGTCTTTAATCATACAAACAACATGATTTTTTTTTTGAAATTAACCAAACACACATTAGAAAATGAAATTAGAAACAGCATCATCCTTGTCAACAAATTATAAAGAAAAGGATAGTAATTTTGAGAATATTGAAAGCTAATATTGAACACTATGAAAAATTTGGTTGAAGTTTTTTTTAAAACCTGCTTCCTTAGAAAAACCATCACCATCTAGATCGAAATATGCAAGCTATAAAAAATCGGGATGCTGGAAAAGGACGGGGGACGGACAGGTGTGGCTTGAACCCGTCCCCCGTCCTTTTCACGTTTGGCCCTTTAATACTAGAAAAGGACGGGCAATGGTACAGGTGTTTTTCAAAATAATTAAAAAAGGACGGGCAATTATGAGGGACGGACGTGGCGCGGGTCAAGGCACAGCAACCCGTCCCCCGTCCTTT